TAAAATATACTAATCCAAAAATATTTTTGTTTTTCCAAAAACTCTAAACAAGTTGGACGGTGAACTCAATCCGACTTCACAACAAGATAAGAGATGATTTTGCATTGACTCTTGGATTGTATACATTTTAAAAACTTATTGAGAAATTTCGGACAAAATTATTCATGTTTCTAGGCAATGCTTGGGATTTGTAACAATGTATGTCGTGTTTTATTTTAATGTATGATTGAGTTGAAATATGTTTATGAAAAAATTGTTGTCTTTGTCTATTCATATTTTGTTAATGTTGAATTGATAATGTTTTCAATTCCAATAGTTCTGGATCTTAAAATATTTCTCATACTTGAACTAATGAATTCCTTTATATGAAAATAACACAATGTATTCCTTATGCATGGAGGTCTTGAAATTTTTTTAATTCCAATTGAATAATTTTTTTTCATTCAACTATTTGCCCCTTCTAAGAGAGAGAGAGAGAGAGAATTAGTGTGTACATCTGCATCTGATTTAGGCTTGGAAAGTATTGTGGAGAAATGATTCCTTACAATCCTGTAATGCTCTAGAGACCATTTTCAAGACTTGTTTGTCCACTGCTACAAATTGATTGGAAGGAACCATTTTGCAAGTCTTTAGTGGTAGATGTTCATATGATAGTATTTGGTTCATGAGTTTTACTCTGCCTATCAATTACTTAACACATTTTCCCTCCTTTATTTCAGGCTTTCGATTGTGAATCGATTCAAAATTATGAATTACAATATCTATCCCGTCAAAGAATTTGTCGCTGAAGATTCAACATTATAACATAGAATGATCTTTTAAACTTTTCTACTTGGGAATTTAGTGCACTACTGTATGAAGATAATAAGTCTAGTTGTTGTGGTCAGACTATGTTATAGATTTTTACGATGTTCTCCACATGACCCTCTTTTCTCCCCCCCTCTCTCTCTTTTTCAAGATCAGATTATAAAGAAAAAGAACTAAGAACTCTTATAACCCAAGGGACTAGGAAACCTCTCCTCACGTCCTTTAACATTAAGAGTACACCGTTGTCCATTCAAAAGAACACTCAACATATATTAATGGGGAACCCACACACCCAAACTCAGGACGTAAGAATTTACGCTAATAAGCCTTTGTTCCACTGCTGAACCAACCCGAGTGGGTTAATTAAGCTCCTCTGTGAACCACCTTTCTTATTATAGAACTGTTGTTTACATATGTTGATGGAATCACTCCATTGAAACAACTAGGACTATGTTCATATATGTAAATCTGAAGAACATAGTTACAATCACAGTGACTTCTACCAATGATCACTGCAGTCATTCATTGATGACTGGAGAGAGTAATGGTTTACCTGAGAAGAACGCTTCTAAATTAGCCACAGCAAGTTGAAAAGCATTGAGAATAGCTTCCTCAGTAAAAGCAGCTCTATGTGGTGACAAAACAACATTTTCCAATCCAAACAGTTCCTTAGGAACATAAGGTTCATTCTCAAACACATCCAAACCAGCACCAGCAATCTGTCCTTCCAACAAACACTTCACCAGCTCCTTCTCATCTATAATCGGGCCACGGCCGATATTGATGATGATCCCTTCTTTTCCTAATGCTGCCATGACTTCCTTGTTGATCATGTGGCGAGTTTGATCAGTTAGTGAGCAACAAAGAATGAGGACATTGCAATTAGATGCAAGTTCATGGACAGTGGGGTAAAAAAGGTATGGAGTCTCTGATTTCTTCTTTCTTGAGGTGTATGAGATGTTGCAGCCAAAGGCCTCAAGCCTTTTCCCTACTTTTGAGCCTATGCTTCCCAGCCCAACAATTCCAACTCTTTTGCCTCCCAACTGAAATCATCACAGCTATAGTTAGATACTACTTAGCAACAAGGTTGACAATTTTGATGAAACGACTAAAATGTTTGGATTTTGATGAAAACTAAAACGAATCATCACGAGTGATTAAAAAAAAAGTCATGACATGTTTCTGTTCTTTAGTTGATCGAAATTGTACATCGAAATAAATTTTGGACAGTTGGTTGGCAACAATAGTACCATGGTTATACCCTACTAGTTGAACAATTGACAATTTATTCTACCTTATGTCAACATCTAGACTCGTAGTTTCGTATTTTGGTAAGGTGGAATCGTCTTGGCCATGTCATTTGGACTAATTCCTAAAATGCAAAACTCGCATAAAGTTGAGTGAAAACCATGTTCATCGATTTTGTTAAAACTTTGGTTTTGTATGGCCAAAAACAAGAAGACTCGAACTCAGAAAATACAAGTTTGGTCCTCAATAATTAATTTAAAAACACTTAGTAGTGCACAGAGACGACTATATGTATATGACCTTAGAGCCAAGGGGAATATCCCCACTGTTAGGCCAAAGCCCGCCACGAAGAAACCGGTCATCGGAACAGATTCTTCTCAGAACAGCAAGTAACATTCCGACCCCCATGTCAGCGACATCTTCGCAGAAGACGGTGGCAGCATTGGTGACTGAGATTTTTAGACGCCAGCACTCCTGTAAGTCAATATGATCCACACCAGTGTTCTCAGTCACCACAAGTTGGACCGCCGGGAGATGGGATAAGACATCGCTGGTGATCGGAGTTCCGGCGGTGCAAAGAATGGCCTTGACAGACTGTGCATGGGTCTTGAGGAAGAGGGTGGTGGGCATAGGAGACTCCCATGCTTTGAGGAATGAGAACTTTGATTGAAACTGTTTTTCAAACATCTTTAAAAGTAACACTGGACGAAGAACTAACACCTGTGGGAGCTCAACCATTTTTACGTTTCCAAATTCTGATGATTGTGAGAGAGAGAGAGAGAGAGAGAGAGAGAATGTTGAGATTGAATACAAAACACTACGAAAGAAAAATCAAAATGGAAATGTATGGTTGTTTTAATGCAAGGATCCATGAATTTAGCCAAGGAAAAGGGTATTTATCTTTTTGAACTATTCAAGGAGGGAGTTAATATAATTTGAGAGTATTTATTTATTTTTCATTTATTATTGAATTTTTTAAATTTATGTTATAGATTTTTTATTATTAAAGGGCAAAAAACAGTAAATTAAAAAAAAAAAAAACCAACTCACCGTAATTAATATAAAGCTCACTCTTATATTACTCACCGATTTCTTTGTTCTGCCCAGGAGGATGTCAAGTCACTGATTTTACATATTTTGAGTGCCTATTTTGGATTATCTCAATTCAAAAAAAATAAATTGATGAACCTTCGATTTCCATTTTTTAAATTGAGATCCTAAGATTTAGCTTACCAAAAAAAAATAAAAAAAATTCATTGCTCTCTATGGAAGAATCCATGACCAATTGAGGTGTGACAATGCAATTCCAACAAACTGTAGCATAAATTTGTAATAAAACTAATGGTTTGTCCCTCTATAAAACTCCATAAAAAAAAAAAAAAAATTATTACTAAAGTTATATAAAAACTGATTTTAGCTGAAATCAGTAAAGAAGCTCAATCTATTTGCTAAGTAGCTTCATCCCATCAGCAGTTTCATTAAATTCAAGCAAGACTTAGACAATCATTAAATTTTTTTCACCTCATTAAACGTTTACAAAAGAGCAATTTCCAGGGGAGTGGCATCAGGGTGGCAACCTCATAACTGTCAAAATATCAAACTCATTTTGACACATGTCATTGGAGCAAATTTATAATTCAACACTATTCAAACTTAAAGTGACAATAGCAACTCTCTTTAGAGTTGCTCTACTACAATACTATTGCATCCCATTTTTACCCACCTCAATCTCTTCATGTACTGACCAAAAAAAATCTCTACATTCAAAACCCATCCAGCACTCCTTCTCAGCCTTCACGACATGCGCTAGAATGGGCAGTTTGTGCGTTTCTTTTTTGATATGTTGATGATAATCTACTTGCCTTTCCCCCTATGATGTATATGACATTGAGCCACCAAGAGGAAAATAAAGAGCTTTCCCACAAGGCTCTAATACGAGTAATATTCAATACAATAGAGATAGTTCATCATCACGAATACACGTAATTACAATCCAATTGTAAACTACATCAAGTGAAACATTTTTCACTTATGCATGTGTGATGATTCTTGGATTGTGTTGGATATACACGTGTGAGATATAATATTCAATGTGTGATATTTTGTTATTGGATGGGGATAACACTTATGAAGAACATAGGAGAAAATATTTATTTTAAAAAAAGTTCAAATTGCTTAAAATTATGAATAATTATCCTCTGACCTAGTGAGACAAATCCCCCATAAAAAAAAACATAGGGCTCGTTTTGGTAGATGTATTATGAGGGGATTAAATATTGAATTGTATTATTTTTTATTTAATCGGGACTAATACTTTGTTTGGTAAGTAAATTTGATACCGTATTAATTTCAAAAACGTATATTGATCGTATATTTTTTATATGATAGCTCTGTATTATGGAGGTTTTTTAATACCACAAAGAGAGGTGGTATTATAATTCAACTCAAATGTATTATTTTACACATTTACTATTATAATCCCTTAACTGATAAAATCAAGTTATCATCAATGTAACAAATACTGATTGATGATATTTTTGTTAATTCAACATTAATACGACAAAATAATTCTCTAACCAAACAATCAATTAGATTAAATAACTACTATCCAACACTTATAATGTGTATTACAAAATATTTGATAAAATTACGTATTATTCTAATACTCTATTTAATTTTGTTTTTTGTCCTTCCGTATTGTATTAAATTGTATTACTATATTTAATTAATTCATTTCTAGTACGGCAACCAAACGAGCCCATACTCTGTCGGTATGCTTATCCAAGTGCATGACAAAATTGTCTTTCACTAGTAAACCCATAATGGGTAAATTGTAAGGAAGTATACAAAATTAAACTTATTTGGCAAAAAACATACACTAAAAAACATATGGTTATTAAGTCCTTAATTTTGATACTTATTTGTATCTAAGTATATAATTTGAATTTGCCTAATTTTTTTGTGACATTTTTATTCTCCATTGATCCATGTGTATGTTCTTTAGAAAGTGATGCATTAAATATCTTCTAGTTTTATGGGAGAACTTTAATATTTAATACACCTTGATTATATATATATATATATACACACACGTGTAAAGTGTAACATTGAAAGTGTAAAATATAAAGTATTATCTTATGTCGCACCTTTCTTAATAGGAAGTGTAAAGTGTTATAGGGTAATATTGAAAATAACAATAACAGTGAAACAATAATAATGTAACAAACTATTTACACAAGGTAAGGGGAGACATTACCTAAAGTGTTACACAAACAGAATATATATGTCTTATCTTACACTAAAAATACTAATTAATTGAGAAAGTATGAAAATGTTACACTTTCAATGTTACATGTAACATTTTACACTTTCCATTAAATAAGGTGAGACATAAGGTAATACCTTACACTTTATACTTTCAATGTTACACTTTACACGTATATAGATACTTGTATATGTACTTTTATTTATATATATACAAGTATATATATACATATATATATATATATGTATTTATATATACTTGTTTATATGTATTTATATATATTTGTTTGTATATATATTAACAAATACACTTGAATCAATGTGCATTAAATATTAAAATTTTTTCATAAAATTAAGAGATATTTAATGTACCATTTTTCCTAAAATGGATATTTATATCTTTATATCTAACTAGTGTATCTTTTTTTAAAATATTTTTTGATATATATTTTTTATTAAATACTGAATTTCAAAAATCCCGGAGAAACCATGGAGAAAGAATCTTACGGAGAAACCATAATGAGTGGGCCCACATTGATAGGACCATTGGAAAGGTTGTACAAAATTGTTTGGTGAAACAAAAATAATAATTATATTAACAGCACATTTGTGCATCACCTGACCTGTACCACATGAGTGGGCCCACATTGATAGGACCATTGGAAAGGTTGTACAAAATTGTTTGGTGAAACAAAAATAATAATAATATTAACAGCACATTTGTGCATCACCTGACCTCTACCACATGACTGACCTTTTCCTTGGAGTTTGTCCCATTAATGTTTTTGTCCATGAGCAAAGCCTGATCGATGGGTTGGCATTTTTAAATTTTTTTCTGACAAATTGGTGATGGGGAAGACATTTATTGACTGTGCACACCACGTGGGACGTGGGACGTGGGCCAGGCCAGGCCAGGTGGTGTGTAATACCCATCCAAAAATTTCTCAGGCTCACCTTCCAGACCTTGGGATTGCACTGGTCTCTACAAGGTTGAGATCTCACCATTGCAAGGAAGGTGGTAATGATTGAAAAGAGAATAAGATCTTGGACCAATAGGTTCTTGTCTTGTCTTATGCGTGCATTGGATGCATGCGTTCCATCTGAGAAACAACAGCTTCTGGGAGGTAAGGATGCCTCAATGTTGTTCCCAGAATTGGTTGAATCTGTTAAACCTAAGGGGGGGTCCATTACAACTCATTTGATTCATGTGAGATATGGTCAAAACACTAGGTGGTTGTTTGATTATTGGCTTCCTCTTGGGCCACAAAACTTATCTTACAACCTAGATGTTTTCCATACCATGGGGTTTGCAAAGGACTCTCTGATAAGTACTATCATCTGCCATAACAATTAGCAATGGCCTGATTCTAGCTCAATAGTCTTTCATGATATTATGACTACTTTGCCTTCTTACACTCCTAACTCAGATAGAGAATATGTTGTGAAATGGATGCCTACCCCTAAACCTACCTTCTCTACTGCTTCTGCTTGGGAGCTTATCAGAAGCAGAAGTACCATTGTCCCTTGGTACAAACTTGTATGGTTTGGTAAAGCTATTCCAAGAATGACATTCATTCTTTGGTTGACAATTAAAGGCCAGCTCATACCACTGACTGTATAACTTATAAATTATAACTTATTACTCATATGAATTACAGAATTATAATTGAAAATATAACTGAAAAATAGAAAATTGGAGGGCATAGGGGTGGGCAAGGTAAGCAGACCGGGCTTTAGACTGGCCCGTTCGCTGGGATCCTCACCAAGGCCCACTTATGGACCATAGGGGTATGGGCCAAGTGGGATGGACTGTGGATCCCATTAACCCAATATAATTCAATAAATTTAAGGGAGAATTACATCCAGATCCTTAAAGTTTGTCATTTAATCATTCAGATCCTTTGATATTTAAAATATTATACACAAACCCTCTGAAATTTGTACGCGAGTAACACTTGGACTCCTGTTGTCAATGTTCAGTAGTATATCTATTATCCTGAAGTTTGTATGCATGTAATACCTAGNATCCCATTAACCCAATATAATTCAATAAATTTAAGGGAGAATTACATCCAGATCCTTGAAGTTTGTCACTTAATCATTCAGATATTTTGATATTTAAAATATTATACACAAACCCTCTGAAATTTGTAACACTTGGACTCCTGTTGTCAATGTTCAGTAGTATATCTATTATCCTGAAGTTTGTAGGCATGTAATACCTACACTCCTCCTGTTTAAAATATTATACCTAAATAAAAAATACTCTAATTAAAGATAGAATATCAAATATTTTAAATTTTACCACCAAAATTCAAGTTCTATGAATCTGTTGTATCATTTATTAAAATAAAATTAAAAATAAAAAATCAATTTTTTTTTAAAAAATCNGACTCCTCCTGTTTAAAATATTATACCTAAATAAAAAATACTCTAATTAAAGATAGAATATCAAATATTTTAAATTTTACCAC